CCCCGAACAGCGCCTCCATCGGCCGCGCTGCGCTGCGCGGTTGGACCAAGCGAGTGGTGGCGTCGAGCGGCCGAAACAACGTCCGTTGGACCGTGAAATGATCCCGGCAAGAGAAACCCAAACGGTGTGTCTAAAGGTCTAAGGTCAAAGGTCTAGAAGAAACCCCGAGTTTGGGGACAAAGATGGGAACGAACTGGTTTTGTAGTGTAGAAACCAGTAAAACAATAGTGGTTGGAAGCCTAGGCTCCGTGCTGGAAAAAGGTCGAGCCGTGATGGAATGCTGTCTATCAGTCCGGTGGTGACGGATTGGATGGGATTGATTGGTCTCAGACTCTGATCTTCTTGTCATTTTGGTTCTCTTGAAGCTAATCTCAAATTTGGTGGCCAGTGGCCATCCAATCAATCAAATGAAGTAATGATTAAATATCAAAAATATCCTGTCCAATCCAATATCCAACTGTGTGCCACTGACAGGGCCATGCTTTGGGGAGTCCACACATGCGAGATTGTGCGAGCAAAATCACTTTCACAATCCAAACCAAGTGCGGTTCAGGCGGCCGACAAGAGCTTATAGGCCCAAGAGAGCAAGGCTGAATAGTGCCTCCAGCGATGGATCTGCCAAAGAGTTCAAAAATGCGCAGAATTGGCATGCAAGTGACTGCAAGACTTGTACGACTTCGGAGGGTTTGGAACCCAATGTAAACGCATGAAACCAAAGCTAGCTATCATCCCTTTGCACGAAGCTGCAGGAAGCTCCATGGCTGTGGGGGTGCACCACAATACTGACCGGCACCAGGAGGTGGTGCCTGGTCGTTCGCTACATGGTGGACTGGTCGGGCTCCAGGTTTTGACCCATCCCAACATTTACCAACTTAGGTTGAAGAACCCTATATACTCAGCCTATAGACTATCCTATAGTTAGCCCAGTAGGGCCTAGGGCCCTATAAGGTCACTTAACCTCTGTTGGTAGGTCTTCCCATGTTTCCTCCAAGCACTGTGGACTTGATCCCAGTTCCGTGCCCAGGCCGCCTGCAATTCCCGCGGGGGTCGCCACCTGCAATTCCCAGAGCATGGGAATTGCAACTACATCAACTTACCTCCTCGTAGACTCTTGATTAATAGATATCCAAAAGAGGTTTTACCATCCATCGAATCAACCTGAGAGCTTCGACCTGCATCGGGTCGATCAGGTGGAGACTGTCCGAAGTCGATGGGGCGGTCCGGGCGACCCGAACTCGCCCGTTCGACTTCGGACTGACAATGCCCGTTCGGAGGGGAGAAGTCCGTCCAAAGATGCCTAAAGGAAGTTCCTAGACTTATTTATATAAAGGAAGATCCTGGACGTCCCAAATACGCCCCAAGAGTCTAGGAACTTCCTTTACTTATGTTGACCCACAGAAGTAAAGGAAGTTGGAGGACTCGGGTCACCAATTGGTCAACTGGTCAACTGGACTCCCAAGTCATCTACAGGCATCAAAGATAGGCATCGACCGGCACCCTGTGAAGCTGCTGTTTTGGCTCCAAAAAGAGGTATGAAAAAACGGGTGTTTCAGATTGTGAGCACTGTCCTGTAGCCAAGTCGGCCGGCTAACCTGGTCAAATGTCGTGAATAGAATTGCACTCCATGTTGCCGGGATGCCTTTCCCAAAAATGAGAACCAACAACACCTGGCCACAGATGTCTCCTCACGAAACGACCCCACCTGCCACATGAACCCCTGCCCGGGCGGCGAGCGAGGCACAGGTGAGCAGCAAAGCCTCTACTTGAGGCCATTGCCTGAAATGCCACTCGGGCGGCCGGAACCTGAAAACCTGTCTCCCACTGGACTCAGGATGATTGGACCGTGGATGGCAGTAAACCTATTTCATATTGTTTCATGGTCCGAACTTGGGGCCACTTTCATCCACTTCCAGGTCCGGTCGCTTCGAGAGTATCAGTTCTGCCCCTTCGTTTGCTTGGAGCCCTGCGGATGAAACTTGTGACGACCTGGCGGATGGAGGTGGCGCGATCGGGGGGAGCGACGCGGGGTGTTCGCGCGTGCTGGAGCCCCAAAACCAGGTGTTCCAAGCCAAATCACACTGTGACCGGTTTTGGTCCGCCTAGGGCCGCTTCTCCGGCTTCCCCTCGATCGCCCCGCCTCGTCCACTCTTGCCACACATGGCCAGGCGAGTGTAAAGCGCCCAAACCACGTCAGAGGCACTCAGCAGGGGCGAAGGCCTCATCTGATTGGGGGTCCCTTTGTCCCATCCAAAGTCCCATCTGCGAGGAACATCAAGCATCAAAACGAGGCGGGTCGCAGAGGCCAACAGACCTGAGAAAGGTCAAAGAAAGAAAGAAGGGTCTAAACGAAAAGGTCCCTAAAAGAAAGCAAGAGAAAGAGAAAGAGGCCAAACGTCTGGATTACGTCCAAGACCGTCTGACCTGTGTTTAGCTTCCGGTCCCAGTGGCAGAGCCGTCTCCTGCGCAACTGTGCTGCAGTCCGAGGTTCGACCCCAACACCGTGGTGCTTGGAATAGATAGAACTTGGACCGACCCAAATCAGGCGTGGCCCAATTCCTTTTTGTGATCAGCTGCTAGCTAGCACATCCTAGCACCTGAGGTAACACTCTTCGGCCATTCCTCTGGGCCCCCGGGATAAAGCTCCTCATAGGCGCCCATCAACCGCTGCGCACTCACGATCGCGCAGCCCAAGGGCCTGGGACGGGCGCCCGGATCCTCTTCAGCGAGGGGAGCGTCGTTGGAGCGTCCAATGGAATGAGGAGAAGTCCTTTGGGGCGTGAGGTGTTCCCAAGGCCTGTACCTTCACAGCCCACGTATTGTCAGGCCTCTTTTGTGGGGGGGGGGCAGGAAATGTTCAGCCCAAGGTGGGCGGCATGGAAGAGGCGACCATGGCTCGCTTTTAGGCAAGCATGCGGCATCACGCACACAGTCGTCAAGACTGGATTTGAAACTTTGAAGTTTAAACGTTAATCTTCTTGGCATGAAATTACGCCAGCCAGGACCTTCTCAGTGACCTCTTCAGGATTGGTAAGTGACCTCATTCTGGGATCTGGGAAGGTCCTGGAGCATAGACCACACATGCAGCTCTTCCATGCTCTTCCTATACTTGAAGTAAGAACCCCAATAGCTCATGCTATCTAGGGGAAAAAATAGTTCCATGTTTGTGGTCTGCGCTCGTCGCGCGTGGCCTGTGGCTCCCCACGATCCAGCAAGCTCGAGGGTCCCCAAGCCTCGCAGCAGCCGCGCGAGGGCATGGCCCACGGGAGTCAAGCAAGCCTGGGACGGTGTGGATGGGAGACAAGCCTGGTTGAGCAGGGTGGATGTTTACTGTTTACTCTTGAAGCAAGGTGATTCTCATGGCGTCTAGAAGGGCAGTTGCGCGTATGGTGGGATGATTGCATCCTTCTGGAAGGTGAATGTTATGCAATTTCAAAGCTGGAGATGGGATCTGTTTCATGTCATTCCACAGCAAGCTGGAGAACTTGTGTGAAGTGCAAGCTGGGAAGTCCCGCTCCTGGATAGTGCAAGCCTGGCTTTACAAATCCCCGACTAAGAAAGAAAGAACCGTGTCCGGCACACACAGAAGGCGCCCACTCCTGCACAGGCGGAGGGATAGTTTATGCTCACCTAGAAGGCGTAGGTTCAGCTTATTGGAGTTGCTGGTTATTGGAGTTCCTGGTTCTGCTTATTGAAGTTCCTTCTCTTCTCTCAAATGCACAAACAAAGATCTAAGCGCCGAAGCACTGGTTCATCGCATCAACCACTCCCGGGGGAGTCCCCGGGCCCCCGCATCGCTGCTCGCCGATCGCTGAATGACCAGTCACCGCATCGCTCGGCAAGGCGCAAATCCGCAGGGAGAGCCTACCAAAAAGGGAGGGAAGGAAAGGAGAGAAGGGAGGAGAAGGCATCCGTGACGCATCCAAAATCTTGGTGACAATCATACTCAGTAATTAATAAATATTAAAATTATACTATATTATATTACATTGACTATATTATACAGTATTATGTGTTATATATATATATATTATGGTCCAGTGAGCTTGTTTTGTTTTATTTTGGCAATTCTCAGCACATGAAGTTTCGGTTTGCTTCGGATGTCAACGCAGGCCTTCACCGTGCAAGGTCTCGGCCGCTCAGGCTCTCCTTTTTCTCTACTTCTCCTTTGGCGGCCCCTGGGCCATAAACTCCAACGGTATCCGTACCTCCTCCTTCGCCAGCACACCCCCGGGCTCAGCCAGGAAGCGCAAGGACTCGGGCAGCGTGGACTTCAAGGCACCGGGTCCCAGAAAGCCCAAGGACCGGATCGACGGTGCCGGCGTTCGATCGGGACCATAGACCTCCCCCGCCACGGAGCCGGCCACGCCTCCGTCGCGCAGGGCGAGGTCGTGCGCGACCTCGGCGACGAGGCAGAGGCGCCCCGTGAGGCCCGGGGCGGTGACGTAGGGCGGTTGCCGGTACTTCTCATGAGCTGCCAGTTGTGCCACCACTCGGCCAGTGAGCAAGGGGCTCTCCGCCACCTTCTCGAGGTCTTGCTCGCCCACCATTTGTTGCAACATCGCGGGATCCTCCCGAATGCGGCGTTGCACCTCCTCCGTCAGAACGATGCCGGGCCAGAGTGAGACGCAATCCACACCAAGGGGGCCAAGTTCCACTTGCAGATCCCGCATCAGACGATCCGTTGCTGCCTTGCCCACTCCATATGCAGTTGTGAACAGATATGTCACGCCACCAAAGGAAGAGGTTGCACAAAGGAGCGGACGTCTAGGAGGATCGGCTCGAGCTGCAGCAAGGAGCATTGGAGCTGCATAGTATGAGGCGACATAATGCGATCTCAATCCCACGTTCTGCACGTCATCCCATACCGACAGAGGCAGCTCGTAGAACTTGGCGCCTTTGGACATGAGTTGATTCACCTCTGGATTCGAGGCTGGACTCTTGAAGGCGTTGTTCACCAGGATATCCAGCTTCCCTGAGGTTTGCTTGGCAATCTCTTCAAAGGCACGCGCCACCTGTGCGTCATCACTGTGGTCGCACAGCACCGGCACACCATGCCCCCCAGCACGGGAGACCAGCTGTGCCGTTGTTTCAAGCACCCTCTGGTTGCGACCGGTCACGAAAACCGTGGCCCTGGCCTCTCCAAGCCCCAAGGCCACACCTTTCCCAATCCCACGCTGGGCGCCGGTGACCACGGCAAAGCGCCCTTCCAAATCCTCCGCGGCCCAGGCCGCAGGTGCCGCGAGATCCAGCGACGGCCACAGCGCTGTGACCCCGCGCAGCAGCTGCGCCCTGGAGTTCGAGCGAGCGCCTGGAGCCGCCGCGCGCGCCGTGCACGAAGACACTCGGCGCATCGCTGCGGGAACGGCCAGGGCGGCGAGCGTCACGGCCCAGTGCGGTGCCTCTCGGCCTGGCAGCTGGGGCGCCTGAGGAACAGCACAGGGAGGTGAACTAGGAGAACATCCCTCACTCACACAAAAAAAACAATTCGGCATGCGTGGACACTTCCTCCTCCATGGGTTAGCATAGACAAGCGGTAGTGGAAATGGTGTTCCTTTTTGCCTTCTGCACTCGCCCACATCTGCTTCATGAACGCTGAAAACATGCCAGACAGGCGATACCTTCTCCTACTTAAAGTTGAAATCCTGGGACATCGTGAGATGTGGAAGACCCACTATTTGCAATCCTCCTGGAGGTTTCAACGGGGGAGAGAGGCCCAGTTCGCCGTGATTTCCCCAGGCCCCGCCGGTCGCGCCACCTCGATCGCCCGACGCGGCGTGCAGCGCGGCGGAGCCACGGCACCTGGGGTGGAATCAAGGGAGTCAACAGCTTCTTTTTTCAAAGAGTAACGCTACTGACGCGTTAGCTACTGACGTTGGAGGCCAGAAGCTACGAGGTTGGAGGCCAGAAGCCACGAACGTCACAAGAAGCTACGAACGGGAGAAGAAGACATTCACTTCTAGTCCAGAACTTCTGGAACTTGACTGAACTACCCCACCTGGGACATGGTGAGGCAAAATGAGTCGTGACTGAATGTGTCTCAAGGTGATGAGTCATCACTGTGTCTCAGTCCGTGAACCCTGGAGTCAGCCTAAAGTCAGCGTTCGCTCAAGTCTTGATGTCAAAAGTCAGCGTTCCATGTGAAATGCACTATATATATATATATACTAGATAGACTACATTCACAGGAGATAGATCATTGGTCATGTGGAGACTCTCAAACGAAAGGGCCAGCGAAAACCACCCCCAACGTCTCCTTTGCTCATGTCGTGCTCTCATGTCGTCCAAGCGGCCGCGGTATCGGACGAGGTCCAAGGGCGCAGCGAATCCTCTGGGGCCCAACGTGGGCGCGGTCAAGCAGAGGACGAGGCCAAACAGGACAAATCTGAAGCACCTGAATGTTCTGAATGTTCTGAACAGCACCGCCATGGCACGGCGGAACGCGCTCCTGAAAGGCGCCTTTCAGGACAGACACATAGGGGAACCAAGCTCCAGAAAGAACGGATTCTGGGACGTCCCAAACAAAGTGTATCGAACATGTCCTTGTTCCTTTCCTCTGCTTCCTTGATGAAAACCCAGCTGAAATCTGCAAACTTCCAGAAGAAATCCGCAAAATGACCCAACGACAGTGCGACTGACTTAAGACTTCCTAACTCCACTTGAGAAAGCACTCCGTGGGGCGGCCACAAAAGCCTTTCACCAGCACTCAGGGCCATCATGCGCTGTGAAGACCAGAACCAGCTCAGGTGGATTTGCTGGGTCGGCCAACGCTGCCCTGGAACCTCAAGTGAGCTTGCATGACCTGAATTTGCTCAGGAAAAAAAGGAAGCCGTTTCATGCCATGTTCACGACCATGACCGCCAGAGGGCATCTCCAATGCTCATGCCTTACGCTTTTACCACTCCCTTCGACCCCAGCCGTTCCACTTCGCACCTCCTCCCGCTCCGCGCTCCGCGCTCCGCGGATCCGCGGATCCCAACCTCTCCAGCAGCTGCGCGGAAGCCTTTTGCTTGGCAGCCCAGAGCTCCAAGCAACGAAAGCCTCGAGCACCGAGCGAGAGCAGTCCACCGCTTTACTTTGCCTCCGAGAGCGTAAGCGAAGAGCCGAAGAGACCGAAGAAGAGCGGAAGCAAAAATACAAGTCTTGAATCGAAGCAACAAAACCAAAGTGGCACATCCAAAAAAGAAAGTGATGATGTAGATTCACCTGAAGTATGAGCAAAAAAGATGCGTCTGTGTCTTATGAATCCCACTGTTGTAGTTCTTCACCCTGCCAGGAATTGGCCGGGAAAGCTTCCCATCCTTCTACTGTATGCATCTGTGGCACTGTCATCATCACCATCGTCCTGGTGCAAGAAATGTTCGCTTTCAGATGCTACACAAACATCCACCAACGATATCAGTGAAATATATAAATAGAGGCTAGAGGTCCCTAAATAGATATATAGAAACACTGAAACACTGAAACACTATGAAACAATGTCCAATACATGTTGAAATGGATTTTACATGGTTATCTATTTGGGTGTCAATATAGTTATATAAGTCATGTTAATTCAAATTTTGCAGCAAACACAACTTGGTCCAAAACGCCGAATAGTTCCGCTGGGATGTTCCACTCGGTACCGGTTGCCTGCTCTGTCGCCGGTTGCCTATCTGAGGGTCACCGTGCCACACGACGAACTCATCGCCCCATCACTCCGTCACCCCCACGACGCAATTTAGGAGCAGACCTGTAGACCTGTAGACTGTAGTCATACCTTGGTCGTAGACTGCGTGAAACTCGACCAAACCGAACCCTTAGGGTTTTTCGGAAACGAGGCAAAGCGGCAAAGCGCCCCGTGGACACCAGCGACCCCACCTGGCACGACGGAAGTCCGTGCGCGCTCCGCTCCTGGGGAAGCTCCGACCAGCTCAGCAGCACCTCGAGCACCGAGGCCTCGACGACGCTGCGGTGGTCGCTCCGCGGTGGTCGCTCGGAACCAAGAACGAAACGCTGCCGCAGACCGCTCAGGACACGGTCGACTCAAGGGATGGAAAGGGATGGAACATGAAAAAGGCGAACGCAACAGTATTTCTCCGTGAAAAGCGAACAGTGTTCTTACACATACAAAAAGTGTTTTCTTCACATGAAACTGTTCTCATGTGGTACACGTCTGTCTGTTCTGGTTCTTGCCAACCACCTACCTCCCTGTACTCCTTGATGACACGAAGGCATTGACAGTCAACTCATGGCTTGAAAGCCGCTGCTGAACATGGGGATACTTCTCCCCACAAAAGAGGAGACCCCAAAGCATAGCCGAGCCAACTGCGAACGCGATCAACTTCAATCCCCCAAACACACCAGTCCAACCAGTCCAAAACGGACCCCTCAAAAAACGCCGCGATGCGAAACGCGGCGTAATCCGTGCGGTTCGCCTAACAGCGATGGCCTCCAACCTAATAGAAATGGCCTCCAACCTATATAATAGCAATGGGCTCCAACCTACTAGCGATGGGCCGCCAACCTATTAGCGATGGCCTCACCTGCAAGGACCCTTCCAAGTCTGCCTGGCGGTCTGAGATGCGGCTGAGGGCTGAGGGCTGAAGGAGGATTGGAGAAAAAAGGCCGCTGAGGGCTGAAGCTCTTGTGAATTGAAAGCTTTGTCTGAAAGATGAGCACTGAAAAACATGTTTAAGTAGACTCTTGATTGGTCGACCTTCAAAGAAACAGACATGGATTGAAAAGCCTCTTCATACATGGGGGGGTTGAATTATCACGATCAAGGTTCAATCGAATCTCCGGCCCATGTTTTCTCTCCTCTACCCGAACCCCCGGAAGGCTCCCGGCTCACCTGACAAAGCTCCTCCATGAGCTTTGCCATTCGCACGGGCAGCTCTCCAATCCCTTGAGAGCATGGGAGAACGATCTCGTCTCGGTGGCCGACAGGGAGTCTGCATGGTCGTTCGACCATGCATTCACCATCGAAAGCAACGGACCGCATGCATGCATGCCTATCCATTCGAGATAAATTAATTCATTATTGAATCATGTCTACACATGGCACATGTCTACAGATCCGTTTGAAGAATCTCTCTCTGCCCTTGAAACTTGAAAGAGAACGCAAATGGACAGCAATGGCCTAAAAGCCTAAAAGCCTTGACATATCATGGAACACTCAAACATTGCCAAAAACCACAAGCTGGCTCGTTGGTGCAGGTGGTTGCCTTGGTTCTGCTGCATCCATTCTATCACCTCCGGAAGGCAGGAGACTACCAGCCTGGCTCAAAACCACAATGACAAAGCAAGTGAGCTGCCCCAACAACTCCCTCTTCTGGACTATTCAATTCTTCAAGAGATTTCAAAATCCACAGCGGTACTGGACCCCTGCATGTGCCTGTAACCGTAAGAGAATTGCGTCCTGGCAAGGCCAGTCAGTCTTACTCAGAATTCTTCATCTTCCACGGCAGACATTCTGCGCCTTTGCGTTGCTGCGCTTCGGAGCTCCTGCGGGAAGCAGAGTGAAGCACCCCGGACTGAGACCAAGCCATTTGGCAGCATTCTCCCACTAAGGCCAGCTACTTTGAGCCAGATCAACTCCTTCGGAAAAATGCAGAGGTTGGGAGGCCCGCTGCGAATGCGCGCCGGCCGAAATCAAACAGCTTTCGGAATCTTCTGGCATCATCAATGGCACTAGCCGCCTACTGAGAGATCGTTACACTTGAAACCACGCCCCCTTCGACTGCGGCAGCTCCTTCCCCAAGAGCTCCAAGACCTGTGCTGCCCCTGCTGCCCGCTGGGTCAGATCCGCCAGATCGACGCACTCGGTGCTGGGCGTCCTCTCCCTCTCCTGCCGGCAACCGCAGGGCTTTGCTCTCATCAGTCCAGGGCACAGGGCGGGTCCATCAGGGTCCAGCAAGTCGGTCCTCGCATCGATCCTGGACTCGGACTGGCGCCATGTCTGTCCTTCGGTCCAAGACTGGCGCCATGTCTGTCCAGGACCGCCGAGCTGCCGAGTGGATGACCAGTCGCCCAAAGGGTCGAAAGAGGTTCGACTTCTGATCGTTGACCGGGGGGGTAGAAGATCATCCAAAAGTGGGGTGTGGCGGTGTGGTCTCATCTTCCACCAACGATTCTCTGGTATAAACAAGCAAGGACCACGCCAGACAGCATCGCCGCGCGGCATCGCACCAATGCAGGCGGCAGGCGTCGGGTCCGTTCGAAACGTGAATCAAGTGGAGGCCGCCTGTTTCCCCCGCCCTCTGCGAGGAGAAGGGGGCTGTTACCCGGAACCCGGAACCCGTCTCGAAGCCCGCTTGGCACGGTCTCGGTCTCCTGGAAGTCCAATTCCAGGCCACCCAACTGCACGAAGCTGCCCCCCCTCCAGATGCTGCCGAATTTCAGACCCAGAGAGAGTAACCAGTGACCTCCTAGGCCCCCGGAACACCTGGGGTGTTACCAGGTACCTAACTGGGGGATAGTTAGTAACTAGGGTTCTTCAACCTTGGAGGTGAGATCCCAAGCCTCTTTTGAAAGCACCTCAAAGCAACCCCCCAAAAAACACCGTGCCTGGTGAAGAGTGTTTCGGTCCTGGAACTCCCCCCCACCCATGTGGGGGCGTGTTTGGGTGGCTTGGAAAACGGACCCCTTGCAAACTGGAGGCTCCAAGGATTCTGAGCTGGAACATCTCGCTTCTTTGGAGAACTTCTGGGTGCGAAGGCAAGAAGACCAAGCTGGGTGCGAAGGCGGTAGCTCTGACGCCTGGTTCCCAGGCAATTGTCAGGGGTTTTTGGGGGGTGAGCTGACCTTCCGCCACACTGACATCCTCTTGCGGAGCGCCTCCAGGAATGCTAGCAAAAGGGGCAGCTCAGCAGGAAGAGCACCTGATGAGCTGGTGGAATCACCCGATTCCCCTTGCTGCAAATGTTACGTGGACTCTCAAAGCCACAAAAATGGTCGAAACCACGAGGTGGTCTTCGATCATGGTCCATGGGCTCTAGTTTGGTCCATCTCTCCCCAGTGATAACTGTGATAACTGCTCAGCAAGGTTGGAACCTGCTCATGACCTTTGCTGCCCAAAAGTGAAATGCCGAACCCATCCACACAGCTACCCTACCCCGAACAAATGTGGAAGTGGACAACCTTCGGTTTCTAGAGGAAAGTCATCTCCTTCCACCCAGGCGACATCCACCCACATCCACCGGTCGCGTTCGAAACGCCACCGCCGGGGCGGCCCAGGCGCCTCCATCAAGCAGCGCGCGGGGTGTCGGGATCCGCCACCGCCGCGGCGCCCCAGTGGTGCCCTGATTGGAGACGCGGAGGAACACTGGAGCAGTGGAACACGGGATGTGGACTTCAAGAGTGTTTTCCCTTGAAATGACCTGAAAACTGTCAGTGTCCGTGTGAAACCCGGGCCTTCTGAAGGTTGGAGGTCGTGATGTCAGGGCCCCCAAGCATGGTTGGGGTAGCAGAACCCCATGCTGTTTCACAAAGGTGCTCCGACTCGCCAAGGAATCATCTACTAAGTATGACTCATTCACCATTCAAGTAGTAGATAATTATGTATCTTACAGATCTCAATCACGCCTGGCCGACTCTTCTGCCCCAAGCAGGGGTATATCATGGACACCAAGAATGATCCAAAATTGATTTCGAGGTTTGCTCTGTCCTCTGGTTCCGTCCCTTTGTATCCCTTCGTTGCTTGGACCTGCTAAGGCTCAAGGACATCCAGGGACGGGGTATATAGGTTGTGAAATCAAGGTATATATCTATCGTCTTTCTCAACCAGTTCCATGATGTTCCATGTATAGAAGGTCGCCTGGTACGCCTCTTTTGGCTCCCAGCAAGAATCACTTGTTTTTTGGCAGCTGTCTCGGCTTCTTCAGTGGACACACACACACACACACATCACACACCTCCTGCCCAGTCTTGGCAGCTCCGCCCAGTTACAGTTCGCCGTACAGACTTGGCAGGAGAAATAGACTCGCAGCAACCAGGGCCGTGTTTGCCCTGTGCAAGGGACCCGCATCGTTGCAGTTGACGTCACATCCATTGGCGCTCGCGGAGTTGCATGCGGCCTTTTGGGCATCGAAGCACGAGGTGCTCACCTCCACCTCCGGGCAGTTGTCACACGACTTCCGCTCGGAGCTGCGTGTCGGATTGCTGCAATACATGTGGCACTTCCAATCGTCACAGGACCAGGAGGCAAAGTCCCACGTATTCGGATCAGGACATCGTGCGGCCTTGTTTTGATCGAAGAGGAAACCTTCACCCGTTGACTCGCATTGCGCAATACCCTGGGACTCCTCAGTGCTGCAGCCGTCATACACAGCATCAGCCATGGTCAAAAGCAGCATCAACCAACCATTGAAAAGCATCGCTTTGGATGACCCCGCTCACAACAAATCACGGATCTTGAGGCAAAATGGCATCTCAGACTCTGTCTCTCGAGACATATTTGGCTGTGGGTCATGGCATTTCTGACCGACCGAGCACCACCTACCACCCTGGACTGGTCGGGCTCCGGAAGACGCATCCCATACTCATGCCTGGATCCAACCTCCATACTCCGCAACAAAAGAATCAAACCGAGCGATGTCACACAAGTTGTCTCTGTCTGGGCTCCAAAGTTGGTCTTGGACTGGAGCCCCATGGTTTTCGCATGCTCCAACATCGCCCCACAAACGAGAGGTGCCTGGTTGAGGAGCAGTGCCACAAGCTCCCCCAAGAACGTGGTCCGGTCAAAGGCCTCTGTGAAAGCCATGCCAACGATAAGCTCAGCAAGCATCATGAAGGTGTTTGAAGGGCCAACTGAAATCAGTTCACTGTGGGAAAGCTCGAAGCTTTGGCACAAAGCTTTGGCACAGCTCTGGTACCACCATCGCGAAAGCGGAAAGAACACGCCAAGATACGGATTTCCGTCCCAACATCAACCCATCTCAACCCCCCCTTCCCCACACCGATCATGTCACGACCCGACCCTCGGCGCCGGCCTCGATCTTCAAGGCCTTCGCCTTCCACAACACCGCCTTCGCGCAGCTGCCGAGCGCTCGGGCAGTCTCGCCCACAGCCGCGGACGGTGACGCAGCCTCGTGGGAAGACAGTCACCCCACCGGGCCGCCATGGGGTTTTCAGGTGTGGTCCTGCTTTTTGGATGATCCAAAACCGGTCTTCCTCAAATCCTACTTGAGATGAACAGTGGTTTTCCTCCTGATCTGCCGGTTTTGGGGATGGTCCATCTGCTGTCTACTTGACGATGACTACAGGGCACATCGCAAGAACCTGAAAAGAAGAGAATAAAGGGTCGTAGTAGGTTCTCTACGCTTCCCCCTATATGAGTGTTCTTTTCCTTGAGCGGCCTTGCACGTGGTGATGCATACCACGTACTAATCCTACTATCTATGACTACTGCCAACATCGAAATCTCAACACACCCTCCCTCCCACGACCCCTGTGGCCCGCCGGCCTCCCCTCCCCCTTCTTCGCACCTCGCTCGAGACCACGCGCGCCACCTCTTGGAGCTTCTGGGCGACACGCGTCAGAAAGGCCTGCGCCCGGTCGGTACGTCCGGCGCCCAATGGGGTGGATGACCGTGAGACCGGAGCACAGTGGACATGACCGTGTTCGCTGTGATGTCATTTCATGTCGAATGTTACACAAAGAAGCGGAAATGAGCTGTGAGGCGTTGCTCCAAAATCACGTGCTAAGCATCTCTGAGGAGCCTCATCTCCTTCACTCCTGCGAAGGAGATGGCAGGAAGAAGATCCGATTATCACCGCGACCAGAAACTGGGCTGGGCCATGGACTTCTCTGAGAAATTCTCCACCAAGGCCATGTTCCTTCTTGGAATCAAGCACGGATCAAGCACCACCCCGAACCCTCAGGTTTCCTTGAGAGGAGCTCTGCCAAGCACCTGAGCACATGGTAGAGCACATGGCCGAAGAAAGGTACAGGGACTACCAGGGACTACAGTACCAATCAATCAACAACCTGCCGTCAACTTGTTTTTGCTGCAGTTTCATCTTCATCTCATGGTGGCCTTCCCATGGTACGGACCTGGGTCTCTTCTCTTCCCTTGGCTCCCCGACCCCAAGCTCGCGGCTGGCAGCTCCTTGGGTCTGGGCACCACTCCGTGCTCTAGCAGCTGGGAGAGCCTCAGGTCCAAGAGGTGCTGGGAGGAACTGCCTACACCCAAAACTTCTTCTTAAAAGCTTGCAGCTTTCGGTCAACCACTGGAGTGATACCACCACGAACGTGTATATAAGTGCGTATGTCCAAAAACCTCGAGCAGCGAGCGAAAGCATCAGTTCCAGAGACGTGAAGGTTCATGGCGCTTGGTCCACCGACGGCGCTCGAGGTCGCCGGGAAGGACCGGATCCGGGCGCAGTCTCACTGACTGGTAGACTCACTGGGTCACACGGGCACAGGCCTATAGGTAGGTCTTGGTCAGGTCACGAAGTTAAGGTCTTAGGTAGTGATGGGATGTTATAGCTTCACTTCAGCTGTCCTCCCTCCTTGGATTGCTCAGTGCACAGCCAAGACACAGCTCCTGGCTGGGCGTCAAAGGCACTATTGCGCTAACAGCACGCAGTGCGCGCAGGCGCGAAAGCAGCGGCGCAGGCGCAGCTCGGCGGCCTTGCATTGGGTTCTGGTTGGTTGGTGATTTCTAGGACGTGTACGCTCCGGAATTGATCTTCGAAGGGGCTACAGTAGCAGGAAAAACGCCACTGTCAGTTTCGAAGCACGGCAATCAGCATCCTGCATTGGTTGAGGGGCCGGTTCGCCATAAGAAGTCGCGACTTGCAGTCTTGCAGTCAGCTCAAACCCAGCCATTCATGATCCCATCCCAGGACCTGTAGCCATGCTGTGCTACATGCCTACAGGCCTAGTGAGAGTATCACAACACTGTGTCTGGTATTGTTCCGACAGTACATGTTCCGACAGTGAGAGATCACCTCGGCTGGGTCTAACCTTTGACTGAAACATCACCGCCGCAAAAGAAGTCCGACACTGGGCTGTCAAGGTGCGCTTCTTCCTGGTTGAGGCCAACTCCTCCTGAGCGGCAAAGTCTGCTTCAAAGCCACTGCGTTCTAGTCGATTCAGCCGTAGGTCAGGGATCAAGACCTTGAAAAGCATCGTGACCCCGAATCAGTTTAGGTTCCATGAATCCTGCCAAAACGCATAGCACATGTCTAAACGCTATGCATTCCATCTCCCGGTTCCTCTTCCAGCTCAGACCCGCTATCCCCTCCCAGTCCGTGTGTTAGAACAGCACAACTCTTAGAATCTGGACGTCTTCTCAGGGAGTCTACACGGCAAAGCACAAACCTGTGGGAAAAGCCACATGTCACAAAACCTGCGGAGTCCACTCTGCATTGAACAAAACAACTCAATCTGTGCTGTCGCCGGCCTCTACCTGGCGCTGGAGCCGGCGCAGCAGGGGCCCGCGCAGCGCCGGATGTTCCAAGAGAACCTCAGGACGCTCCCAACTCATGGTGACGCTTCGTGGCTTTGGCCAGCGAAAACCGTCACTGACTCCACCATCACAACCAGAAAACACCGCGAAACCGCACCGAACACCCCCGCGCCGCCCCCCCAACAAACGCCCTGCCTTCTTCTGCGCCGCTCCACCGCGTTTCTCGCGACCCAAAAACGAAACCCGCGCCTCCACATTGGACCAGAGGCCGTGCCTTGGCTTCGCACCCGTGAATTTCACCCTCCAAAACCCTCCCCTCCGCCTTTCCACCGCGTGCCACTCGGAGTATCTCAGAAATCGGACAAAGTATGGTCCCTACCGTCCCTACCCGAGTCTCGTGGAGGTGGATGGCGAGGAAGGCTCTGTGTTTTCCCTGGAAAAGAGCAAGCGGGGGGTCTGCCATCCACACTTCCAGACCGTTTGCAGGGAGGGTGACCTTCCAACAGGTGGCTATCTGTGGCCCAATGAGCGTCAAAATGGTGGCGAACCAATTGGAAGCTCCTTGAGGCAAGGCGCAATGCCTGTTCCTCGACGAAGAGATCCTGTTCCTGGCACGCGTGACAAGGAGACAGAAGCTGCTTCAGAAATGGCTCCAGTTTGGAACATCGCTGGCTAGCTCTGCCCAGATCCTTACATTGGTCAAGCATCGTCATCACATGATTCTAAATTCGACTTGAAACCATGCATGCCACCTGCGACCTTCCAACCCAATCCAACCCCAGATCTCCCCAGATCTCCCCCCAACCCCCCCCAACACCCGCTTCTTCCGGTCTCCAACGATCGCAGGGTGGCCTCCGGCAGCAACAGCTCCGCCAGCCGCTCCAGCGGCGCCGTCGTCCGCGGCCGCTTCCGCTTCCGGTCGGACGCGCTGGACGCGCTGGACGCGCAGAGCAGCGACAGCGGCAGCGGCGGCGCGACGGCGAGGCGCCGGGTCTGCGAAGGCGAAGAAGGGCAGAGGCTTTGCTCGGCCTGGTGGACACGGCTGAAAGGAGAGAAAGAGATGGATTAGATGGAGTGAGACATTATGGCGGGATCCTTCGACAGAGTCGATTTGTAAATGTGAGCATGCTGGTGCCTTGGGTGAATTTGAGGCCTCGACTGATGTTTCACGTGTGGTCCTTTCCGTCGAATTCATTCGGATGCCCGTCTTGTTTTATGGTCATCTCTTCATCTCTCAGGAACTGAGAAAAACTCTCCTTCTCCTCGAGAAGGACATTGACGAAGATCACACAGAAGGGCATGAATCAACCAATACAGCTAAAGAGGTGGCTACGCTACACAGCCTGACCTGAGCAACAGGCGCTCCTTGGCGGTCCTTGGCGGTCCAACTGCTGGGACCCGATCGACCGGCCTCCATCAGCAATGCCTCCAGCAGCGCCTCCAGCAGCACCGTAACGCGGGAGTCAGTCAGAGGTCTTCAGGGTTGGTTGGGCTCATCTCTCTTCATACAGCTTGGTATAAGAAGGTGGAGGATGGAAGCTTGTGGGATTGAATGATTCGATGACCACTATGGTCTACACATGCTACTTACATGCGATCCAGCTCCTTGCCCGAATGGGGCCATCTCAACCACCTCCCCTTGATTCAGAAGGTGAATTTCGTGACAATACATCCCGAAACCTATTGAAAACACTCGATGAGTATTCTGTTTGAACCGTCTAAAGGTATCACCAAAACATTGTTCTAAACTCTAAACAATTGAACTTCCATTGGAGAACCCAATTGATTGAGCTTACCACTTGAACTTGTGGAGAACTGCCACTTTCAATCGATTAACCGAATGATTAACCTTTGAATCCTTTGAACTGCAGGCGTTTGGAAGGTTTCTGGAATGTTCTGGATATGCTGTCGGGGCTCTTGCCGCCCGCCTCGTCGCCGGCCTCCGCAGCATCCCGGCGCGCCGCCAGGCATACCGCTGCAGCCTGGGCAGCGGCACTGTCCCGGAGGGGCTTGGTCGAACGCGGGAGCGGCCTGAACCAACACTGCAGGTGTTGGTTACACCTATTTTTGTTCAGGGGAAATGTTCAACGACGTGCATGTTTGTTTGGGTGTCATAGTTTTTCTGTCTTTCTCGTGCACTTGAGTGCGTCAGCCACTGTCAGCAAATAATGTGCCGACACAGCGTGCTAAGGATTTGGGTCAAACGATTCAGGGCATGTCGTGTGGTTCAGACCACGTGTCGGAATGGGGGAAGGC